GAACCTGAGAGCTAAAACGGTGTATCAGAAACCGCAGCATCCAAACAGGGACACTTCTTTTGGCTCAGATGTGGTTCTTTCTGCTATACTAGGGGAGGCGGCTTCAATCTTGGTAACCTCGCCTTGTGTGATGTTCTCATATTCGCTAAGAGGAGGCACATTACTGGAAAATTGGAAGCTGGCTCACATCACAAATTTTCAATGAAGGTCGACGCAGTGAACTTTCAAGCTGTCAGCCTGTAGCACTTCTCACAATACCCTCAAAAGGTATGGAATCCCTTATATGCTGTGGTTTATATAACCATTTACTATTCATAAACTTAACTCCGCCTATAGCTCTTCAAGAGTTACTGCCGGTCCCAAGCCCGGGTAAAGGATGAGGGTTGCGCATGGGGTTAGCGTCCACATCCCGTAGAAAACTAACTCGCTAAAAAAACGCTTACCAGAAAAAATAATTCAAACCGTTTTAACTCTGCCCTGGGAGCTAGGTCTTCATTTAGAAGAATTATGACGCTTCATGGTGAAAGCCGAGTTCCTTCGGAAGTCACGAGGTCGATGCTCCTTCTAACAACCAGAGCAAAAATAATTTTGTAGGTACATGGAACGTTCGAACAATGTGGGAAACCGGGAAGACCAGTCAAATATCAATGGAAATGAGGAGATACAATTTAGCAGTACTGGGAATCAGCGAAACCCACTGGACCCAAGCTGGACATGAAAGGCTAGCTACGGGAGAGATGCTGCTATACTCCGGTCACGAAGAGGAAAATGCTCCACACACTCAGGGAGTCGCAATAATGCTGTCCAAAGTAGTACGAAATGCACTTGTAGGATGTGAATCTTACGGATCTTGAATCATCAAAGCATCATTCAAAACAAAGAAGGAGGGGATCACAATGAATATTGTCCAATGTTATGCACCCACCAATGATAGCAACGACGACGTTAAAGATCAATTCTACGAGCGACTGCAATCAATAATAGAGAAGTGTCCAAGAAAGGACCTCACCAATCTGATGGGAGATCTAAATGCCAAAGTCGGAATAGACAACACCGGTTATGAAAATATCATGGGACGACGTGGATTGATTGGGAGAGACAAACGAAAATGGGGAAAGATTTGCAAATCTGAGTGCATTCAACAAATTGGTCATAGGAGGCACAATATTTCCACACAAGCGTATACACAAGGCTACATGGATCTCACCGGTCTACACTGCAGCGAACCAGATAGATCATATCTGCATCAATAAGAAATTCCGAAGGACAATGGAAGATGTGAGAACCAGGAGAGGTGCTGACATAGCTTCAGATCACCACCTAGTTGTGTTCAATATAAAACTGAAGCTAAAAAAGAACTGGACAACTGAACAAACAGCAATACAAAGGTTCAATACAGCCTTCCTTCGAGATACTGACAGACTCAATGAATTCAAGATAGCTCTCAACAACAGGTTCCAAGCCTTACAAGGTCTACTGAAGGAAGAAGAAACTACTATGGAGGACAACTGGAAAGGCATCAAAGAAGCATTAACTTCAACGTGTCAAGAGGTTCTGGGCCTAAAGAAACACCGTCATAAAGAGTGGATCTCTATAGAAACTCTGGACAAGATCAAAGAAAGAAAGAACAAGAAGACAGCAATTAACAACAGACGAACACGAGCAGAGAAAGTCCAAGCACAAGCTGAATACATAGAAGCAAACAAGCAAGTGAGGAAGAGCATTAGAGCCGACAAGAAGAAGTACGTGAAAGAACTAGCAACGACGGCGGAAAAGCTGCAAGAGAAGGAAATATGAAACAGCTTTACGATACAATGAAGAAACTATCAGGGAAATACAGTAAACCAGAGAGACCGGTCAAAGACAAAGAAGGCAAGCCAATCACCGAAATTCAACAACAGCGTAACAGATGGGTAGAATACTTCGAGGAACTCCTGAATAGGCCGTCTCCAATGAATCCCCCGGACATCGAAGCAGCACACACAGATCTTCCTATAGATGTCAATCCACCAACTACGGAAGAAATTAGAATGGCCGTCAGACAAATCAAGAACGGGAAAGCAGCGGGATCCGACAACACACCAGCTGAAGCACTGAAATCAGACATCGAAGCAACCACAAGCATGCTTTATCTTCTATTCAAAAAGAGGAGGAACAAGTGCCGATGGACTGGAAAGAAAGACACCTCGTCAAGATTCCAAAGAAAGGAGATCTGAGCAAATGTGAAAACTACAGAGGCATAACACTACTGTCAATACCAGGGAAAGTCTTCAACAGATTGTTGCTGAACCGGATGAAGGATGCAGTAGACGCCCAACTTCGAGATCAACAAGCTGGATTCCGTAAGGATCGGTCGTGCACAGACCAAATTGCAACACTACGGATCATCGTCGAACAATCAGTTGAGTGGAACTCGTCACTGTACATCAACTTCATTGATTATGAAAAGGCATTCGACAGTGTAGACAGGAGGACGTTATGGAAACTTCTTCGACACTACGGAGTTCCTGAGAAGATTGTCAATATTATCCGGAACTCATACGACGGACTACAGTGCAAAGTAGTGCATGGAGGACAGCTGACAGATGCATTCCAAGTAAGGACCGGAGTCAGACAAGGCTGTTTACTCTCTCCCTTCCTCTTTCTTCTGGTGGTCGACTGGATTATGAAGACCTCAACATCTGAAAGAAAACACGGAATACAATGGACAGCTCAGAATCAATTAGACGATTTGGACTTCGCAGATGACCTGGCCCTCCTATCGCACACACATGAACAAATGCAGATGAAGACAGCCAGTGTAGCAGCAGTCTCTGCATCAGTAGGCCTCAGCATACACAAAGGAAAAACCAAGGTCCTCAAATTCAAAGCGGAGAACAGCAATCCAATCACACTTGATGGCGAAACTCTGGAAGATGTAGAGTCCTTCACATACCTGGGAGGCATCATCGATGAACAAGGAGGTTCAGATGCAGACGTGATGGCAAGGATTGGCAAAGCAAGGGTCGCATTCCCACAATTGAACAACATATGGAACTCAAAACAACTTTCAACCAATATCAAAGTGAGAATCTTTAATACCAACGTCAAGGCAGTTCTAGTGTGCGGAGCTGAAACTTGGAGAACTACAACAACCACCATCAATAAGGTACAAGTATTTATAAATGGCTGTCTACGCAAGATACTCGACATCCATTGGCCGGATACCATCAGCAACAACCTTCTGTGGGAGAGAACAAACCAACTTTCAGCTGAAGAGGAAATTAGAAAAAGACGATGGAAATGGATAGGACATAGATTACGCAAACCGTCAAACTGCATCACGAGACAAGCCCTAACTTGGAATCCTGAAGGGAAGCGGAAAAGAGGAAGGCCAAAGAACACACGTCGGGAAATAGAAGCAGATATGAAAAAGATGAATAACAACTGGAAGGAGTTGGAAAGGATTGCCCAGGACAGGGTTGGATGGAGAATGCTGGTGAGCGGCCTATGCTCCTTCACGAGGAGTAACAGGCGTAAGTAAGTAATTCATAAAAAAATTTTCAGCCCAATAGCATGGTTTCAGAAAATGTCAATGTTGTACAACCAACCTGCTGACCGCGATGGACAGATAAAAGCCGTCCTTGATCTCAAGGAAAAGGTTGACATAATTTATCTTGACTTCTCAAAAGCTTTTGATAAAGTCAACCGTATATTTGTTATCAATAAGCTCAAACGAATAGGTATTAAGTCATTAATAAATGATTGGCTTGCTTCATATTTAAATAAATGGCCGTTTAAACTCAGAGTTAACTTCACTTTCTATCAGGCTATGGATTATTACAGTTGGGTCTTCAAGGGTTCATCATGAGGTCTTCTTTTCTTTATTTCCACAGCAGGTATCGTCAGATTTATTAATTTTCTCTGATGTTATGAAACCCTGGAGAGGGGTTTTCATCCGAAATTGTAAGCTCGCAATTCAGGAGGACTTGAGTTGACTTAAATGTCAGGTAGATAACAATGAACTTACTTTTCACACTTCAACGTGTAAAATATTTCATCCGAGAAATTTTCAAGACTATTCACACATCTTCAGTAACCCCAGTCTTGAAAGATCCCAATTTGGAAAAGGCCTAGGAGTGTTGGAATACTATAACCTGAAATATTGCGCTTACTGTAACAAAAATGCCTTTCAACCAAGCCTTGTACTATTAACGTTGAAGCCCATTTTTGTCCAGTTTAACGACAGAACTTTCCACTTAATCTTCGACAGTTTTATTCGACTCGAAAGTAAACGTTGGGAAGTGCCTCAAATAACTAAATCCTTGCCCTTCAGGGTATAAATGTCTCAGAGTTGACCTTTCAACGACTTGCAACACCTTAAACACTTTCGGGTATCCCCTTAAATACCCACTTACGGCAAGTTCCAATACAAACCTTAGAGGTAACACCCAGGATCGAGAGATTCGACAATGACGGAACATACTGTAGGCATACCTTCTGTTCTCTAAGAGTAGTCAAATGCTGGAATTCGCTGCCTGCTGAGATCGCCCAAGAGACTTCTCAGCAGTCCTTTAATAGAAAATTTAATATATTCATAATGACTAGGGACAGTATCCCACAAAGATTTACCGATATTTTTTATCTTTTACCGTTAAATATACATCGGTTTCTACCTGGCGATGTCAGTGATCCACTTCTACTAGATAAAGAAGCCTGTTAAGAGAAAGCTTCTATCTCATCAAGAACCATTTGAAACAACCTAACGTTTATACCAAACCACATGTTGAATAACGGTAATATAGCTTGAAGATTCCTTTCTCTACACAAAGTGAAAATTCCACCTACGTTATCCTAAACTTTTACTACATGTGAAACTACTTTGACCATGATTTCAGTTATTGGGATGTTGATCTGCCAAGGTTAGCGTATATTCAAGCTATCCTGACACACGTGCATCTAGATTCAAGTGGTGCACTCCAAACTGTAGACTCTGACGGAGAGAGTTTACGTTTTCTTCAATGGTGTTAAAAGATCCTAATAAATTTGATGGCATAGATGTTAACAAAAAGCACCGCCCACGCGCCAGCGGTCGTAAAGCGCAGAAAAAATGTCCACGAGAGTCAGCAACAGCAAACAATCCTAAAGCATTTGCTGTCCAACACACAACTAAAGCATCACGCCTAGTCCAACGTACGCTTGATCATCAGACTAAAAGACATCATTTATTACAATCCAAATATGTTTCGGCTGTTTCTCCACCATATATAGTTGCAATCGTCGGACCTCCGAAATCAGGCAAAAGCACTCTTCTCCGTGGACTAATAAAACACTTTGCACACCTATCAGTTGGTGTTATTAAAGGTCCGGTGACTGTAGTAGTCGGTAAAAAGGAAAGATTTACTTTCATTGAGTGTGGGTGTGAAATCAACAGTATGTTAGATGCTGCGAAGATCGCTGATGTCGTTTTGTTACTCGTTAATGTCCGTGCAGGACTGGAAATGTATCATTTTGAATTCATCAATATGATACAAGCTCATGGAATGCCGAGAGTTGTTCCTGTTTTGAATCACTTAGATACATTTAAGGATTCTAGCTCTTCTCGTGCACTTCGAAGAAAAATTAAACATCGCTTATGGACCGATCTTAACTCCAAAATATTTCTCCTCTCACGTTTTCAAGCAAAAAAGTGTAAGTTTTAAGGGACGTTTTGCTTTTTCTCCGTTTTAAACGTTTGGTTAACAGACCCTGATACTTATCAATTATTTCATATTTTAGAACGGTAATAACTATTACTTATCTACTAGTTATGCATCCTTCACTAGGCAGGAAGCTTTGATCACGAACAACCTATTTGTTTTCAGTACTCATACTAACGACCGATTAAAGTCGAACTTCTGTTATTTTCGTCCTGATCTTGAAGCTAACAATAGTCAAATAAACAAAAAAAGCAGCCTACTACTATTATTAAAATTGTCAGCTGTGTTAAATCTGAGTATTTTTTTATTGACCTTAATGAAATATACTAGTCCCCCAAATACCCTGGTACGTCCCAGAGCGGGGAGAGCCAACTCTCCCTCTCGAAATGCTCTCAAGTGGCTATGTGCATGCAACCACTGACATGGAAGTACTACTCATTGCCTTCTTGTGGCATTACTGTTGTTTAAGAAATTGAAGGGGAGAAAAGCGAATGTCCGGCACTTTAACCGGGTTGGTGGATACGGAAGATTCACCTAATGGGGTCGTAAAACCCTGACTCCAGACCAGTGGTGCACTAGGCTCCAGGATCCTAAGGTAACAAATGGCGTACGAATCTATTGTTCGTCATCGGCTGCCATGGGACTGCATCTTCTGACGTTGCTCCACCTTTTTGTGGATTAGGCCTTTAGGTCAAAGGCTCCGGGTGTGGCCCCCTAAGAAAACCACCTGCTTCGGTTTGGGCACCCGGGCAGTATCCCAGCCCTCACATAAGTCGAATGATTTATATGGCACATATCTATTTGGTTCCTCCTTGTATTAATGTTTATGTTTTTAAATAAAATAAAAACCAATGAAATCAAGTGATCATCAAGCTAAATATTTTGATTAAGTGATTTATTTTGTACACTTGTCTAGTTCCAAGATCTGGAATTATACTCGTTTCGGTAGATATGTACGTTTCGGATTTATAACTCGGGTAATCTAACAAGTTAGCCTTCTCAACCATGGCCCATAAACCACTGGTTTAGCTCAAATTCCGTGGATATATCGCGTATTGGGTTGCATTTAACCCCAAAAGTGCCTTGATACACAGGAAAGTAAAGTGTTTGCTCTCCTATGGTTATGCCTTAAAATAATCTCACATTAATAACACTTAGGAAATGTCAGCTCTTTGTGGACAAATGATGGAGTGTTTGGACATAATTAAAAGGATAAAATCATGAGCTTGAACAAATCTGGAGAATGCAGGAAATTCACTTGCTGGGATTTCAAAACCTTAACTTTAAACCAAATAGTTCACATGGTCGTCGGATACTTAAAGTATAGAAACGTAATTTAGTTACCAGCTTCCGTAAAATCTGCACATCCTGGTGTTGCTTTATTACTTTGAGGACTCGACTTAATCGTCATCTTTGTAAATGTGTGTATCAACCCTTAAATTTAGTTGTTTAGTTGCCTTAACGTATCTCTGAATCCCCATGTTTTGTGTCGGATTGCATAAATCAAGTAATTTTATAGCAGTCATGTGCGACATTTAATTTCAGACACGCGTCAATACTCTTACACTCATAAATCTTAATGGTTTATGAGATAACCACTCGAGTGTATTACATCTCATTTCTTACTAAAATAATATGAATTCGTACAATTGTTTAAATAAAAAAATCCTCCATGATGAATCAAATAAAATGAGCTTGTAATTTTACGTATGCTTCAGATTCTCACCAAGTCGAACTTTTCAAATGGGATGCTCAAGTGGCGTGTTCATGACTCATTTCATTCACAGTTATCTAGATTCGATTTGTGACATGGTTGTTCTTAATTAAGCTATTTCCACTTGTAACACTTCCAAACCACATTTACCTTGCAACAACTTCAAACATTCCTAGTCACCTTACTTCGTTACTTACTTACGCCTGTTACTCCTCGTGAAGGAGCATAGGCCGCTCACCAGCATTCTCCATCCAACCCTGTCCTGGGCAATCCTTTCCAACTCCTTCCAGTTGTTATTCATCTTTTTCATATCTGCTTCTATTTCCCGACGTGTGTTCTTTGGCCTTCCTCTTTTCCGCTTCCCTTCAGGATTCCAAGTTAGGGCTTGTCTCGTGATGCAGTTTGACGGTTTGCGTAATCTATGTCCTATCCATTTCCATCGTCTTTTTCTAATTTCCTCTTCAGCTGAAAGTTGGTTTGTTCTCTCCCACAGAAGGTTGTTGCTGATGGTATCCGGCCAATGGATGTCGAGTATCTTGCGTAGACAGCCATTTATAAATACTTGTACCTTATTGATGGTGGTTGTTGTAGTTCTCCAAGTTTCAGCTCCGCACACTAGAACTGCCTTGACGTTGGTATTAAAGATTCTCACTTTGATATTGGTTGAAAGTTGTTTTGAGTTCCATATGTTGTTCAATTGTAGGAATGCGACCCTTGTATCGTTGTATCGTAAAGCTGTTTCATATTCCCTTCTCTTGCAGCTTTTTCCGCCGTCGTTGCTAGTTCTTCTACGTATTGCTTCTTGTCGGTTCTAATGCTCTTCTTCACTTGCTTGTTTGCTTCTATGTATTCAGCTTGTGCTTGGACTTTCTCTGCTCGTGTTCGTCTGTTGTTAATTGCTGTCTTCTTGTTCTTCATTTCTTTGATCTTGTCCAGTGTTTGATAGTCACTTTAAAATGTAAAAATTACTCTCTTGTATTTTGTAGTGTATTGCATTCTGATCAGTACTAAAACAAGTAAATGAACCTTATACTTCCTCTAATCTTCTAGTCGCAGGCTAGAACCGTGTTCAACTTACTTTGATTTGAGCAATCAGGTAGTGCCTCCAACATTTAATTAATATGTGTTAATCAGTGTTCGGAAGTAATTTTCTAAAACTTTAGTATTTCTTTTTAGTAACTTCACCAGTATCACACTGTAATGTGCGTTATTATGCTTCTGTGTACCTTATATTTTTAGTTCCCTCTCATACACCAGATAAACAAAATGCAGGCGACACTCCAGGCGATTATTTGCTAAATGAAGTCAGACGTTTGGCTCGGTTAATAATGGTCAAAACGCCTCGCCCTTCAGATTGGCGTAGCTCTCATCCTTACTTACTAATTGATCGAATAGAAGATGTAACGGACAACAAAACGTCCAACAACATGAATAATGACCGTTGTATAAGTTTGTACGGGTGGGTTCGTGGTGCCCCCTTACCACCAGCATTGACATCTCCTGGGATACACATTGCAGGACTTGGTGATTTTGCTTTAGTTGAATGCACTCAACAGCCTGATCCCTGCCCATTACCGGGTATGTTCACTCATTCCAACGGTACTGATCCTGTGAAAACAACAAGACATTTGTCTGAACGTGATCGAAAAGTAATGTATATTTTTGTTGATATTTTAATTTTTTATGCGTATATTAAGTGCTAGTTACTGAGTGTCAGGGTATTGTGTATAGTATTTGACTGGAAACTATCAGTTTAGTGAGTATCCCGTGCACCACTTTTTATTATCTCCCTGTGTAAAACCGATAAGGGCTATAATTACCTTGTCTGATATGAAAGACTGTTCACATCACTGATTAGCGAGGAGTGGAAATAGCAAGTTTTTATAGTATATTTTACACATCTTACCACCATCAATGAACATCTGTAACAGGGAATTCACGCAGGGTTTTTTATATGATGCAAGTTTTGTATATTGTGACAAGATTCGTGTTTTCTATTCAAACAATCAAACAAAGACGTTTTGTTCACATGATGCATCAATAGCTCTCACATTTACAAAGAATATGATTCAAAGTTGAAGACGTAAACCTGTATCAATAAATAAGTGATTCATAATCTGTTGTCCTCTATAATTGTAGATAGAAATCGAACGTATGTCGTAAGTAAATGCAGCTAAGGGGAAAACAGTAACTTTTCTAGGAAAATTCTAGATGACAGTTAATTACCACTTTCTACTTTTATCTGGAGTGTTAGGTAATGTTACCGGCCCTCACACAAAACTTAATTTCTGAACCACCGCCATAAATTACGTAGTGTAATAGATACAAATTATTATTATTATTATTATTATTATTATTATTATTATTATAATATCACAAAGACTTCACTTTCTATTTAGATATATGCTCCAATGTCGAGTCTCGGTGGTGTTCTGTTCGACCGGGATGCGACATATATTGATCTTGGAGGCAGTCACTATCTAACTAATCGTAAATCTCGACATGGAAATAATCAAACACAAAATGTTAGTCAGTCTATGTTAGATGAATTACATGCAACTTTCAATGAAGTTGGTGGGTTGGATGAGCGATTAAATAAAACACATAAGGTTCGTATGGTCAGCAATGCACCATTTCTGTCTGCAGAAGAAATAGCGGATAATCATGATGGTTTTCATAATCTAAACAATTCGATGAATGATGTTACAATGGAAGAATCAAATGATATGAACACTGACAAGTGTACTGATGAAATACGTGTATTTTCAGAAGAGCCTATTGCAGGATTTCTTGTCCCGGCTGGATTTCAGGAAAATGGAAACGTCCAAAAGAAGAACCAAGATCCGTCAGTGTCGAAAAGTGCACATATGCAAGTAAAACAAATTTTAGATGGTGAGATCCGTGTTTTTGTAATTTACGTCTTAGCTCATGAACTGTACTAATGTATATTAGTTGTAGTAAGTACTTGTTAATTCTTAGTATTGAGGATTCACAGGAATTTTTCAGTTTGAAGTTCGTTTTCATCACAAATGGATATCATGTGTAAAACCACCGAAGACCAGGGAGTGTTAGACGATTATTACATTTTAGATTAAGGTTAATTATCGTCCACTCGCTACCATGTACTAAAGCAAACTCAGTACTTTTAGTTTTTGTGAAAAATAGCATAACTTTATACCACAAAATCTGAACGGTTCACAGTCTTATTTTGTAGTTATCATCCAATGCCATTGGTGATGTATCATCTTCAATATAATTGGATCCAACCAGTTTTAGCTTTTCATTTGAACTAGCGATTTTCCTCAAAGCTAGTCACTAATGAGCCACGATTGTAATTATGATTATAATTATAATTATTATTAGATTACAATTAGGGTATTGGTTAATTGTCTAGATTTTGCATCATACTTTTTTCTGTTAATTACTGGTTTATTTTGAGGTGTGGCAAGTTGGAATGACACAGATTTGTGTTAGATACTACGTTATCTATAGGTGACAATGAATTCCACCTATCAAAATAAATAAATAGAACGTCTTTTAACTGATGAATTTAAAACATACTGTTATGTAATGTTTGATAATACATATTTCAAATGTTTCTCATCTACTAATTAGGAAATATTGTTAAAGCACCCCAGATAAAACGTTTCCACTAGAAAAACATGGAAGTTTTGTGCAGAAATCAAGGATATTTACTTCAAAATTACTTCGAAATATCATCAAAAATGACGGCTATTTCGTTCCTGTTCCCAGTCAGTCATATGCACCGTGAAACCTGAAACGTATATAAATCGGTTTAGGTTGACATAGCACATTGGGACAGAGAGATACAGTTATCAAGACCAATCCCAGACCAGTAGATGTAGTCACAACGTTAGTAGTAATAGAAAGGTATAGGCGTCGAAAAAAGAAGATATTAATTGATTTCAAGACTCAGATTTCATGGGATACAAAGAGTAAATGCAGCTGGCATTATTGCGAATAATTCTGAGCAATGTCGCTCAGAGTCTGTAACCATTGCTTACAATAATCACTTAGACTTCAACCAGTTAGTCTACACCTACCTATATAGCTCCCTCCACCTATCGATGGCTTTGTAGACCGGTGCTGTGTCTTGGTTTGGTTGCCCCTAGCTTTCTTCTAACCAACCCCCCAAACCAGACACCATCCATCGAGGTAGGCAGTGGTTTTTACATATATCACATACGTCACGACCTTTTACTGTTCCCAGTGGAGACGTTAGTTTGTGAACTCTGTTATATTACTAAACTATTTACAAAATTCATAAGTAATAATATTAATAGTATTGAGAACTATAGAAACAATTCATCTTGTTTACAGATATTGAATGGAAATCCACAACCGTATCCTTAGTCAACTGGAACCGTATTGTTTATGGTATAAATAATGGTAAGTTTTAGTTTTGATGTTTTGCACTTGACAATTCACTTTTTAAATGAACTTGATCTCTCAAAAGAATTACAGATGCACCAATGTTTTAAAAAAAAGAAAGTAAATGCACACTTATAATAGCAAAGATGTGTATTGGTAAATTGACAATAGTGGTAAAACTATACTATGCTGACGGTCTTGAGTGATTCAAAATATAATCTTAAGATTAGCTAATCAAACATAAGCCACTAAGAATATAACTCTTGTAATCATGTTCTGTATTACAAAAAAGTATTTAGAGTTTTACCAATTAATGAACTTATTAAGACTGACTATCCTAATACCCTGACGTCCTAACTCTAACTCCTCTTATTTTCTAATTCTAGCACTTCGTTTCACAGGGAAATTATCATCCAATCTATCCATAGTATGAAATCTACTCAACAAGATTATATATATAACAGTAAACTATCCTCATTAGCGTTGTGAATTCATACTAATATTTAATATCGGTTATTTTAATTTCGATTGGTCGCTTAAAGCCCTCAGTATTACCGGTTATTTAGTTAGATTTAAGCTTGTTAAGGCTGAAGTATAATGTTGAATTTGAGTAATTTCTAAAATAACCTTAAGGAGTTTTCGACACCATTTAACCAGGAAATAGTCAATATGAGTGATTTCTAGTTCAAAATAAAAAGATTCATAAAGTAGATATGGTTTTTTTTAATATGATTAGTGATTTCGTTTATATTTCTAATCGGTTCTTAGGCTTTGAATTCAAAGAAATCTTCAATAAAGAGATTTATCAATATGACTCAAAAAACATTTTATTTCATAGCCTTTATACAGTCGTAAATAGTTTCCATGAAACACCACAAATGCCTTCTAGTTTGTCTTTAATTTCAAATCATTCAGAGGCTTAAGTCACGAACTAGTCCTCCTGAGCATACATCACTTGGCCACACATCATATTATTGTGTATCATCGGTCGGTCAGCATGTTTTATTCATTCTAACTGTTAACGAGACATAGACTGGATTAAAGCATGCTCAATGCACGATTGCTTTGGTGCACGCTGATTGGCTAATTCTTATCCACTCATCACTAATCGATACTTGGAGAATACTCTAGAATCTTCTCATGTAAAAACTATAAATATACTAACGTCTTTCCCTATTGTGCTTCTTACTTCCATCTAACCTTGTTATTTGGAATATAGTCTCTTTCCTGTTCAACCGTGTTCTGATTTGGGGACTTGTCGAGTGATTTGGTGTCCAAGAATACTAACCAATAGGAATAGCTGGGTTATAACCGTAAGAGAGAAATATAACACTAACAATTGATATTTCATCTCATCAATTAATAACATCTTCCTTTATGACAACTCAGAATATTGTTACGGCGGTTTTACCTTCACAATCGTAGATTTCCGAATTTATGTGCAATTCAACGTTTTATAACAAGTTTATTATTCTTTATTCACTAAAATTTTTATAATAATTCAGATGATAACTGATATCTTTGTCCGGTAAATACTTTATAACCGTGGAAATGTTTTCTCAATACTGATAAGTTCGTCAGTCATCTACAACATAGGACCAGGCACATATGTGCATCGGTTCAAGTTGCCATACCTCATTAGTACAACAAGATGAACACCGGATTCATAGTAGTTAATTCAGTGGTGCTAATATATAAAAGAAAGATTGCATATAAGGATATAGTACAGGAAGAAACAATTAGTTTGTAGAAAAAAGATATGAAGCGATTTTAATCTCGTAGCTTAAGGGAAGACAGAGAGTGTATACACCTACGCCATTGTTATTGATTCTGAGCCATGTCACTCAGAGTCTCCAACCATTGGTTAGGATAGTCACGCGGACCTCGACCGAGTAGTGTACATCTATTGACGTGGCTTAGACTAAAAGTTAGTTCGACATGATACTTAAAATTAACTCGTTACCAATTGATAAAATAAGCTAATCGTGTACCGTTTTTTCTTCATACATCTTACCAAAAAAGTAATTGATTCCATATTTTATTAGATGCGAATGAAAATCCCCTTAAAAGTTCTAACCAACCAATCATTGGAGATCATGATTTTACTCTTTGTTCAATTCACAAATCAACTGTATTATCATGGGAGGATTCATCATCTCATAATTTAATTCGTAATCTATTTACCACTGGTCATTGGGGTGAGAATGAAGATGCTCGAACACTATTGGAAAAAGATGCTAAAGCACGAGAAGAATTAAAAATGAATGAGGCTAAAAAATATGCTGCCGCATCTGGTAGTCGTGTACAGCATACTTACCATGGAAAGCAATCATTTTATGATAATGATTCAGATGATTTTGAAGGAATGGAAAACAATTCCGATAACAGTGGTGATGATGATGACGACGATGTTAATGATAGTGAATCGAATAATGATGAAGATGTTTATAATCAGGAGTCAGACGATGAAAATATTTTCCATGATTCAAACTCTGAGGACGAAAATAATCCAAGTAACAATAAAGGTATTGCATCAAAGGACTTGGCAAATTTGGAAAGTGAATACGATAAGGTCAGTGTGTATATGATCTTGTTTGACGAATAAGATCCTTTTCAAACGATTTGAATTGTAATATCATTCTTAGAAATGATTAAGTTTTACGATCATGCATCACCCCTAATTTACGTATCAATGAAAGCACATTAACAATAAAAATATTCATGCTTTAGCGCATTTTTTGTCGTTTCGAAAGTCAGAGTTCTATCCTCCTGGTAAGCTCTATACTTACTAAAGAAGTTGTTTCTTTCGACAGTCAAAATCATCTGTAAGAACACCTGGTTGCCTCAAACTATGCCAACGACTCTCATCTCCTAAACCATGTGTAGTTACCTTAATTCATTCGGCTAATAAATGACGCTTTGACCCCTGGAACAATCAGTACAAGGTTCAGGTTTCCATGAAAGCTCTTTTTAAAATTTAATGTAACTCATTTACCGGGTACGGTTTTATGCAGTTACCTTTAAGCTCATGATACTATCCGACTGCTCAAACCAAGATGTGTGAATCCTTGTTCAAATCTGCAAAATATTTATAGAAAGCTCAACATTTCTACCACTAAGCTATCATTATCAGTGAGAACAAATACACCAGTATACCCGATTGGTGATTTTTAAACCTGATGAAATGGATATCTTAAACTGCGCTGTCAAGTCACTTTATCAATCCTCAATCAATAATATTTCAACATGCATACACGTAGCCAATATGCTGCCGTGAACTGATCAGTTTTGATCTTCTAAATCAATTATGTCTAATGCAATAAGGAATTTGAAACTTTACTGACACTCTGTGACATTCGAACTCTTGCACTTCATCATCACAGTTCAAGATGTTACTACGAAGATATAAGTACAGGTCCTGACCTCTTGTAAGATCATGATATTTAACCACTGTCTCCAACCATCTAACATCAAGACTTGGTCCATATGATATCGTACAACCTGAGTGATAAAATGTAGTGAGCACAAAAATCTAAATAATCATGGTATCATTCTCAGTATTCAAATTTCAATCAGTTACATGATAATCTTTGTTTTGATTATGTTTTTGTATAACTTAGTATTATCTTGCTGTGATACTTCACTCAACTATTTTCAGATTAGAGCGAAAATTCATAATAATCAATATATATATTAAAAGAAGCCAAACAACAGAGACACGATAGTAGGAACAACTACTTACTTACACCTGTTACCCCTCATGGAGGAGCATAGGTCTCTCACCAGCTTTCTCCATCTAACTGTCCTGGGCAATCCTTTTCATATCTGCCCCCAGTTCCCGACGTAGTTTGGTATTTCTCTTTTACGTTTCCGTTCAGTATTCCAAGTTAGGGCTTGCCTTGTGGCGCAGTTTGATGATTTCCTCAATGTATGTCCTATCCACTTCCATCGTCTTTTCCTAATTTCCTCTTCAGCTGGAATTTGGTTTGTTCTTTCCTACATTAGGTTGTTGCTGATGATATCCGGCCAACGGAAATTCAGTATTTCACGTAAACAATGGCTTATAAATACTTGTACCTTTTTGATGTTGGATGTGGTAGTTCTCTGAGTTTCAGCTCCGTGCAGTAGGACTATCTTGACGTTTGTATTGAAGATTCCGACCTTGATGTTGGTTGACAGACAGTTGTTTGGAGTTCCATATGTTTTTCAACTGTAAGAATGTTGTCCTTGCTAATAGGAACAGTGCTTATATATAATTTACATAAAACCTCCTAACATCTCGATTTGTCCGCTGGCGCTGAGTGATTATAAGTAAACCGATCAGTATATTTATATTTAATCTTAACCAGAGGATGTAATCTTCTGGACTATCCTGCTCACGATTATTGACATTAAAACATACTGTATATTTCAATGACTTTAACATTTACAATATCTTTATTTAAAAGAGGATTAATATTAATTTTTTCTATAAAAAAACTCATATTCAGAATCTACTACGACCAACTAAACGACAGAAATTATTAGAGAAAAGACAACGTCATAAAGCTTTATTTAACCAACTCTATGAGGAAGCTGGTGGTGGTCCTGAAGCTACCGCATTCTATGATAAACTTGTTGCTACACGTGAAGCACAACAAGCATTAAATAGAGAAGTTTTAAAAAGTTTACCTGAAGAAGTTGTTAATCGTTTAGAAGGTTTTCCACCTGGAGTTTATGTTCGAATTGAAATTAGAGGTTTGTTTTGTTTTTATTTATGTGAATATAAAGTTCATTTTAAAATTCATTAGTAAATAAGTAGTACTAGAAATGATGAGTTTTGTTATTACAGATGTAAATGTTAACAAAGTTTAGAAATTTATGTTAATTGTGTTCTATCAGATGTAACTACTTAAAAATGACTTAGTACTTGAAACATAATTTATTTCATTAGTTGAGATCATGAGTCAATTGAAGCTAGACCACCATAGAAAACCTGAAAGCACTGGGCGGCCGTTTCGTCCTATTGTGGGACTCTTCAACAGTGCTCAGTGACCAGTGGGTTTCAACTGGGTCTGTTGTGAAATAGTAACTCACTGAAAACAATGGTGAATGTGTCGCTCAATTTCGTGGATTGGTTGAAGTTAGATATTAACACCATTGAATGCCGGTCAGCTCAGTGGTCTAGTGGTTAGGCGCTCGCGCGCGAGACTGATAGGTCCTGTATTTGAATCCCGTCAGGCGGTGTCGTGGATGCGCACTTCTGCGGAGTCCCATACTAGGACGAAACGGCCATCCAGTTCTTTCAGGTTTTCCATGGTGTTCTAGCTTCATTTGACTCATGATCTCAACTATTGAAATTATTATAATCTCCACAAAACCCTTTCTGATAAAATTTATTTGTCTTTAGTAGGTTGAATTTTTGCATTTTTTTTTCGTGTCGATTACTGGATAAGTAATTCTAAAGTTCTTAGCTAAATATTAGATTGTTCCTTAATATCATTTTTCTTGCAGTTAGATCTTTAATAAGTACATCTAACTCTTGGAGGTTTCGACTTATTCCAAATTAATATCCCGATTAAACTTTGTGCATAATACTTAGACAAATCTCGTTGCACATACACATTACTTACAATAACAGATGTCTTACACGAAATATATTGAGAATATTATGTTTCATGTATGCAGATTAACAGACAAACCACACGAATAAACAGACGTAGTTTGAATTTGATTGCACTCTTAAAGTGCCTTTCATCAGGATTCGTCATACTCAACCGTTATGATTGAATTCTTTTTTTGATAGATTCGTAGATTCATGTCGATATCTTTTTCCCACTGAATGAATAGGTTTCATTTGATCAACTTAGTATCAAATTATGTCTAATTCGTAATTTATACAAGCGACAATGTGTTAAAATAACAAGTTTTCTATTCTCTGGTACCTTCACTTACACAAAACAAAGGAATAATTAAGTCGAAAATTGTTATACCGATTCCTGAAATCTCAGGCTACGTGGTTAGGTCCTTTGAGAGAAAATATGTGGTGTTCCTATATAGTACAGATAGTAGTAGAGACTGGTGACAGTTAGACACACTACGATTTAACTAATAATTATTTGTAACATTGTATCAAGCAAAGTGAGTAATTTTTGGCATATAACCCTCTACTGGCCTGCATCAACACCTGAACTAAGGATAGAGAGTGAAGTAGTCGAACGTGTTGACAACTTCACTTGGAAGTCTGATCAGCCCTAGTGGGTTGGTGTCTGGCGAAATGCATGGATTCAAAAAGCTCGTTTGATTTTTGCCAATCTTACGTTACCTATGGCGAAGGCGAGATGTCCGTCTATCAATAAGAGGATTAGTATACTTCGCGGCAGTTCGTTTTGTTCCACTTTATGGCTGCGAAACGTGGTCATTAAGAGTAGAAGATACTCGCAAGTTACTAGTAGTTGATCACAGATGTCTTAGAAATATTGCTCGCATCTGCTAGGATCACCTAGTAAGTAATAGTGCGGTTAGACGCAGCGTATTAGGGAATGATGGTAAATCAGTTGGCGAGGTTGTGAATCTTCATCGACTGAGATGGTTGGGCCACGTGTTACGTATATCTGAACACTGATTACCACGATGCGCAATGCTGACCAGTGTTGGGAATGGTTGGAAGAAAGTTAGGGGCGGTCAAACCAAAACGTGGTATCAGTCCATAAAGTCACTAACTTCTAGTGTGAGCCATGTTGGTAGATGTACACTACTTGGTTGGGGTCCGCGTGACTATCGTAACTAATGGTTGGGGACTGTGTATGGCATGGCTCAGAATCGGTCACAATGGCGTGGGTGTATACACTCTCTGTTTTCCCTTAAACTAAGAGATTAAAATCGCTTCATATCTTTCTTTCTACGAACTAATTCTTTCTTTCTGCACTATATTTTTACGTAAAATCTTTCCTTTATATATTACTCCATTGAGTTAAGTGCTTCCATGAATCATCCAGTGTTTGTCTTGCTATGCTAATAAGATGTGGCAACTTGGACCGATGCATGTATCTACCTGATCCCGCGCTGTAGCTGACTGACAGAAATGAATATAACGCAAAATATTCATATTCATACCCATAATTCACGTATTGCGTACAATAATAGTAATATAGTATGTATCCTGAAAATAATCATGGTATACACTCTAGTTTACAGACATGATCAGGTTATTATGAAAAGGAGTAGAACAAGACTTGGTTCGTAAATTGTTTTGACTGTACAGTTGTCTCAAAGATTTTAATAATGAAATGCAGACAAGTTGTATAATCATAGGTGACATTTCGAAGTATAAGATTATTGTCGGAGCATACAAGAATAATAGCTATTATTCTTGTAGACGAAAAGTTGTCTTTGATAAGCTAGGGGCGGCCAAACCAAAACATGGGACAAGTCCATGAAGTCACTGACAAGTGAACTGAGTCATGTTGGTAGGTGTAGACTACCTGGTTGGGGACCGCGAGATGACAGCAACCGATGGTTAGAGACCCTGAATGACATGGCTCAAAATCGTTCGCAATGGCGCAGGTGCATCCACTCTCTGTGTTCTCCCAAACTCTAATCTTCTGAATTCTTCATGTCCCTTTTTTCCTCTTTCCAAATTTCTTTCACTGGATTATACTCTTTAAATAACATCTTCAAACCCTAATGTTTCCGATTACTGCTTATACTCTTGCTACCTCTACCACTACGGGATTTGAATCGACCACTGCATCTCTGTGCTAATGTGGTGTGGCAACTCGAACTGATGTACGTACGTACGAAGTTCTACGTTGTTACTGACTGACTGACTGACTGTCTTTGATAAACAGGGTAGAAAGAATCGTAAGTTTGCCAAGTTAATGGCGCAGCTAAAATATCATGACCGTTTTGAATTCATTGATATTGCAAAGTGATTAGCCAATAGGGACCAGTATTTTCTTAGCCCTAAGGACTGAGATCTCATGTTTAAGAATGATCATAGTATAGACAACCCATTTCAGTCTTATTACTTTGTACTTATAATCATCTACAATTGGAGAAAAGAAAATGGAAAAGAGAGCACGGAACAACAAAAAAATTATTTTGATAGATCAATCGTCATATATACACTTGATTATATTGTAATGTAATAATATGAATTTTATTTAGACTAATCAACTATTCTGGCAATATCTTTACACCATTGAACTATGTTAATTATAGGTGTTCCACAACAATTTCTGACACGATTTGATCCCTGTCAACCATTAGTTGCTGGTGGCTTATCCAGTGCTGAAGAAGCTTTCGGTTATTTACAAATTCGTTTTCGTACACATCGTTGGCTTAAACGTGTTCTCCGTTCAAATGATCCATTAACAGTATCAATTGGTTGGAGACGATATCAAACTGTTACAGTATTTTCACAAGAAGAGCATAATTTACGTAAACGTTTCCTAAAATATTCACTACCACATGAACATTGTCTAGCAACTATTTATGGTCCATTAGTACCACCAAAAACTGGAGTAATTGCTTTTGTGAATTCTTCTTGGCAGTCAATTGATGATCCAAAAAATCCACATTTACCAGCTTTTCGTGTCGCTGGTACTGGCAGTGTTATTGATACTAATCAATCATTTCAAATCATGAAAAAATTGAAATTAATTGGTGAACCATTCAAAATTTTTTCAAAAACCGCATTTATTCGCGGTATGTTTAATAGTCCTTTAGAAGTGAGTAAAATGATTGGTTGTCGTATACAAACTGCTTCGAAAATACGAGGTAAGTTCTTAATACAGTATTGGATATTATTCCATTTGATTTATATTCTTTCTTCTATTCAATGTTCGTAATTTCTGGAATTATGAAAAAGATTTACAACTCATATGAATTCTGTATGGTATGTGCTTTGCACCTTCGAAGTACAAAGTACTTCTACAAGACTGGCAGGATTCTAATCCTGTACTCACTCTGGATGATGAGCAGATAGAAGTAGTCGAGAAGTTCGTGTATCTAGGTAGCTGCATAAGTGCTGGTGGGGGGTGTGAGTGATGAGATCAATGCACGTATAGTGAAAGCCAGAGCGGCTTATGCCAATCTGGGCCATCTTTGGCGCCTTCGTGATGTTAGTCTGGCTGTAAAGGGTCGGATCTACAACGCGTCGGTGAGAGCAGTTTTGCTCTATGCTTGTGAAACCTGGCCTCTCCGAGTTGAGGACGTTAGACGACTCTCTGTTTTTGATCATCGCTGTCTCCGAAGGATTGCTGACATCCAGTGGTAACACCATGTTAGTAATGCAGAGGTTCGACATCGTGTGTTCGGGCACAGAGATGATAATGCAATTGGTGTCACCATCTTGAAACACCGACTTCGGGGGCTTGGACATGTTCTCCGAATGTCGTCCCAGAGAATTCCACGTCGTGCATTATTTGCCGATTCTGGGACTGGTTGGAAGAAGCGGAGAGGTGGTCACTATATGACATGGTGTCGTGGCATGAAAGAAAGCTGCAAAGGACTGGCTTGTGTTGGTCCTTCACGACTCCCTGGCTGGGGTCCGAGAGATGGTGCAACACAGTGGCTAGAGACGTTATCAGATATGGCTCAGAATAGGAGCCAGTGGCGATCGTGCTGTAACCTTCTTTTACTTTGTTCATAAAAAAGTGGTTGTGTCTTCCTTAACTGGAAGATTTCTTCTGATTGTACCTTTCCGTTCCCTCATTATTACTACACTACCTTACACCAATCTCTTCGTTATTGTTCTCTTCCTTTTACACTCCTTACCTTTTTTTCTCTTCGAATTCCCATTGTTTTGTGTGGCACATATATATTGGCGCACTCTTGTACCAATATTTATGTGTTCAAAGAATTAAATAATGAATTCTGTAAACTAGATAATTTAATTACAGAGCTTTGTCTGTCTGGATAACACAGCCAGTCCTTTCTCTTTATGTGAAATATATCTGGTAAATAGATCGTGCACTTCGATAGTAATTACTTTGACTTGCACATAATTTTATGAATTTTTCCGTATAATTTTAAGTTCGAATTATTCAAAGCAGTTGAAGTACATATGGAATGTGTCCAATTAATGTACTTCATTTATCGTATGATGATGTCTAATTGATTTATGGATTTACTGTTGACAAATTCTAATGCTGTCTCGATTCACTAGGATTTAAGACAACCTATGAATAGTATCACTATTCCTTGAGCAGTAAATACAATTCTCATAGCCTAGTTTTATCCAAAGTTATACATGAAAGAATATATGACACTTTAATGATTTTTCTCTGTGTTATATTTCATTTCCAGTAAATGTTTTTTAACTTTTCTCTTTTACCAATCATAGGTTTAGTTAAAGCTGCATTAACTAATCCATCAACATCGAAACCTGGTGATTTTCGTGCTACATTTGAAGCACAAATTAGGAAAGCTGATATAGTTTTCTTGAGAACATTTTTCGCTGTTGAACTGCCCAAATATTATAATCCAGTTCTTAATAGACTTTTACCTATTGTTGGAGAAAAAGATACAACTACTACAGGTTGGCGCTTACTTCGTACATTAGGTGAACTTAAATGGGAAGCTGGTATCAAAACAGAAAGTAATCCAGATTCACAGTATAAAGTGAGTGTGGGATCTGTTAATAAGTTCTATTTATTTTTTGTATTACGCTATACTACTTATTTATTATTCAGTAGTTAAGATGGTGCCTGAATATTTATTCGGCTGTCGACATATGTAGTAATTAATATCAACTGGAAGTGGTAAACCTGGCAGCAGAAGGCTATGAAGGTCGACTTAAAGAAAACAGAAACAGAATTAAAAAGGAATCGTTAATCGGTAGGATCATACAGAATATGAAGGATAAGTGATGGAAATTTGTAAATAAAGTACTCAATATATGGTTCTCATATTTCACTAAGAATACATTTGGTTGTTTCCACTTGTATTCTCGTTCACAACAGAAGTACCAACATTATCACTGATAATTTGAAATATTAATCATTAATAAAACTATTAATGAAGAGGGAATAAGTTCATGGAATAAAAAGTGTAAGTATTTTAAGATCTGCTCTATTGCGAACAAGCTCCCACACACTTATTCTTATGAGAATCTCAGTTCAACCTTTAGTCATGCACTTAAAGTATAGGAATTTTAATCAATACTGCCCTTATCGTGATAATTATATGTAAAAATCTGTATTTATCATTACTATTATTATTATTATTTCTATATGCAGCCTATAAATCGTCCAGTACACATTACAGCACCTTTACGTATACCAACCAAACTGGCCGCAGCACTTCCATTTGCGTATAAACCTAAGCCATCACGTAAAGAAGCATTAGCTATGCTTGGTGGAGATCCTGTAAAAGCTGCTTTAAATGCTGAAATACCTGCTCCAGTTAAAACTGCTGATGAAATGGAATCTGAATCAAGACAAGAATTAATTATGCGCCTACGTCAATTACACTCAGATTTTATGCAACGTCAAAAAGAGAAAATGATTAATCGTGTAACAAAACACAAGAAACAATTAGCTAAAGAAAATGCCATTAAAGCTGCTAATGAACGTAAAAGACGAAAACAATATTTTGCTCGTAGATCATCCCGTGGCGGTAAACGTTCTCGTCGATCAAATGGTGAAGACTAAGCAAATACACCTCAAAGATCATATCATACCTTGTACAGTATATTAATGATATTTCAAATGTTTTTTTTTGTTTTGGCTTTCTACTTTGTGATTCGAAATATTCGATTTTGAATGGTTAAGTTGTTAGTTCAAAATCTCATCTCATCTACTTCGAATTGAATAAATGTGAATATGATCATTAGTCTTCATACATAAGCTTAGCTCAAAGCCCAAAATAGACGAATCTACAGTATTGGTTACTGTGCTTAACTTGGATATCGACCACACGACGTGAGTAAATGAAATGTATTTACTCATCTGAGCACTGAACGCTGATAGCAAAACTTGTTCTTTGTTGTTGATATGGGAGCTTCCAATACAACCTCATAATTACTAATAGTACGAAGGTCGATTCGATGCATCCGGATAAATTGAACAGCACTTTGACTATGATACAGCCTGACGTATATAAAAGCGGAGGTGACCAGTAGTATCTCAAGAAAAACCTATGCTATAACTAGTAATGAGTAATCAGTCAGAAAGCGGGTTAAGCTATACGTATCGTTTCATAATTGTTTATCACATGTTATGTGATAAACAATGGTATCAATTCGAAATGATTAGAATAAATGTATTTGAGAGAGGAGCGACCTTCAACATTGACAAACTCAGGCTGTTTTATTCGAAGGCGGTCACATAATCAGTCTGAAATTTAATGTTCGTTTATGGATACAACTCATGTTATCTTAGTTTTTCTGTTTAGTTCTAAATCAAGTATAGAAATTCATCAGAAAATTTTTGGACCAAGATAATTAGACAAGAGGATGAGCAGTTTAAATAATTTGATACCCTAAAACACATGCGTCTAAACTTTATTATACAATTACATCTAGCTTTATTAAATTTTGATTATTTCCTGGAATAAACGTAATCTAATAGTCCAGACAATATGTTGAAAATAATCAATGATTCATTGTAAGATGTTGGGGGGAGATTTGTTGCTCAGGTAGATGATTTTGATAGAATTTTATTCTCTGAGCTGGATGGTTTAGACACGACCAAACAAAACTCCATCAAAATATATTCATCATTGTTCACTACATACATAGTCCTCAATATCTATGGAACTATTCGTTTAGATTATTGACCATAATGTTGGTATAATACAACACCATTTTTTAAAGTGTTCTCCACTTAAGCAATTATGAGAATATTGTTATTCTTTCAGTGTTTATTATCTAAGGGAAACCAATTACATAAAACAAACTATCTAAACTATTGTTCCTCAGAGTTTGGTACATCCATCATCATGACACCTAATGCTAAACCAGTCACTATTTGAAACAAAGGTTGATATTAATTGTAATACATGGATTTAAATTGTAATGTATTTGATTCTAGGATAAGTTGACTGTCTAGTGTTTCTTCATAATTCTCTAATGATTCTTAATGAAATTTGAAGTTTGTTGGAATAGTACAAAACCATTTGTTTTCTGTTTGTATTTCAACTCATTCATAAGGCAATTTTTGCAATAGTATTCGTAACTCATGATGTTGACAATTTTTAGCTAGTAAACTTGTACAATATTTATGAATACGACTCTACTTAAGGAAGGATTGTTTTTTTTTCTTAGGAAAGTCATCAGATATATTATTCTTGAAATATACTCATGGATACACGATTACTTTATTTTAGCATTCACTAATTTCTATTGTTAATACGTAGACCTGTCTTCTCTACAAATGTTGGAACCAGTCAGTCAGGATCAGGCACATATATGCATGAGTATGTATGAGTATCAAGCGTATAGTACTCATTATTATGTCTTGGTCAGTCAGTTACATCGTAGGAACAAGCACATATATGCATCGGTCCAAGTTGCCATACCTCATTAACACAACAAGATGAACACCGGATTCATAGAAGTAATTACTTTAATGGTAGTAATATATAAAAGAAAGATTGCATATAAGCACAAAGTATAGCAAGAAAAAAATAGTTCGTAGAAATAAAGATATGAAGCGATTTGAATCTCATAATTTAAGGGAAGACAGATAGTATATTCACCTACGCCATTGTTATTGATTCTGAGACATGTCACCAAGAGTCTCCAACCATCGGTTACGATATTCATACGGACCCCAACCAAGTAGTGTACATCTACCGACATGGCTTAGACTAGAAGTCAGTGAGTTCAAGCACTGATGCAACGTTTTGATTTGGCCACCCAGTCTCGAAACATTGGTTGCGATGCTTGCGTTTTTCTTACATGTAAGCTACAAATTCGATAATGTTCATAGATCTTATCTGCTAATATTTTATAAATGTCTGATAGTTCAGAATGTGTTAGATGTATTATTACAATTCAGAGAATGAATGAGTATACTACAAGCGTATGTAATCGAATTAAATGCCTCGCATTGTCGTGTAACACATAGTTTTGAAAAGTTGTTGGTAATGACAATTTGATTCGATAGATCAAATCTACATGTTAACACTTTCTTTTATTTTGTTAATAGATTTCTAAACAAAATGTAAATAGTAATACTTATAGGGTGAAATTGACAACATTTTTACATACTACTGACTCCTGTTACCCTTCATGAAGGAGAATAGTTCGCTCATGCCAGCATTCTCCATCCAAAGTTGTCCTGGACAATACTTTCCAGTTGCTATTCATTCTTTTCATATCTGCTTCCAATTCCGGACGCAGTGTGTTCTTTGGCCCTTCCCCTTTTGCGTTCCACTTCAGTATCCCAAGTTAGGGCTTGCTTCATGATGCAGTTTGGTGATTTCCTCAATGTATATCCCCTTCACTTCCATCGTCTTTTCCTAATTTCTTCTGCAGTTGGAAGCTGGTTTGTCCTCTCCCACAGAAGGTTGTTGCTGATGGTATCCGGTCAAAGGATATTGAGTATCTTGCGTAGACAACTATTTATAAATACTTGTACCTTTTTGATGATGATTGTATTACGTTATCTTTATTTTTAAAAGAATGATCTCATTCAAAATTTCAATTCACAATAAGAGTTAAGATGAAAAGTGTTTCATGAAATATCTTAGTCTTTAATCTATAGTAGAGTAGTAGTTTGCCGCCAAATGCCCTGGCATGGCCGAGAGTGGGGAGAGTCCATTTCCCCTCTCCAAATGCTATCACATGGCCACGCGTATACAGCCTCTGCCAGGGAAGTCCTACTCACTGCCTTTTCGTGGCGGGGGTGTCTTTTACGAAAATGAGAGGACGAAAAGTGAATGTCCGGCGCTTTAACCGGATCCCAAACCAATGGTGCACATGGACTCCAGTATCCTGCAGGAAAAAATGGCGTATAAACCCGTCGTCGGTCACCAGCTACCATGGAACTGCATCTCCTCACGATGCTCTACCGCCTTGTGGGTTAGACCTTTAGGTCAAAGGCTCGGGGTGTGGCCCCTTAAGAAAACCACCCGCTTCGGTCTGCGCTCCCGGGCAGTATCACAGCCCACACACACGCAAATATGGTGTGGCACATATATATTTGGTGCCCTCTTGTAACAATATTTATGTGTTCAAATAATAATAAGAGCAGTAGTTTAACACTACTGAGCAAGTACATACTAAACTGAAACAACTGTCCATTACTTTCTAGTTTTAAATAGTTGTTTCATTAGGCTTAGTTCAAGATAATGAAAACGTGAATATGAAACCAGTTAACTCAAATGACAAAGGACTGTCAAAATCTTTCTCATGAGTTATTCTTATGATTACAGACTTTTGAAATGAACTTGTGTGTGTGTGTGTGTTTAGATTAGAGAAACACCTCTAATTATAACTTACTGAGGTATTTTAAAATTTAGATGATCGATAATTGTGTTCATTCCAATTACAGAATGTGTACATAGTACAAGGTTACAACAACTAATCGAATCTCATTTACATAACTAAAACGTTCAAACTTAAACAAGAACATAGATTCTCAACTATAAACACTGAATTGAATACCAAAATAAAAAAAATAATCCCAAGGATATAACTTGTAATATGGGCTACTGCAAAATTGTGCATGGAGGACAGTTGACAAAGTCATTCGAAGTGAAGACCGGTGTTAGGCAAGGTTGCTTACTCTCACCCTTTCTCTTTCTCCTGGTGATCGACTGGATCATGAAGACGTCAACGTCTGAAGGGAAGCGCGGGATACAATGGACATCTAAGATGCAGTTGGATGATCTAGACTTCGCAGACGATCTGGCCCTTCTATCCCAAACGCAACAGCAGATGCAGGAGAAGACAAACAGTGTGGCAGCAGCAGTAGGTCTCAACATACACAAAGGGAAAAGCAGGATTCTCCGATACAAGACAGCATGCACCAATCCAATCACAATTGACGGAGAAGATTTGGAAGATGTTAAAACCTTTACATATTTGGGCAGCATCATTGATGAACAGGGTGGATCTGATGCAGATGTGAAGGCGCGGATCGGCAAAGTAAGAGCAGCATATTTACAACTGAGGAACATCTGGAACTCAAAGCAACTGTCAACCAACATCAAGGTCAGGATTTTCAATACAAATGTCAAGACAGTTCTACTGTATGGGGCAGAACCTTGGAGAACTACGAAAGCCATCATCCAGAAGATACAGGTGTTTATTAACAATTGTCTAAGCGAAATACTTCAGATCCATTGGCCGGATACTATTAGCAACAACGTACTGTGGGAGAGAACAAACCAGATTCCAGCGGAGGAAAAAATCAGGAAGAAGCGCTGGAAGTGGATAGGACATACATTGAGGAAAGCACCGAACTGCGTCACAAGACAAGCCCTCAACTGGAACCCTCAAGGCCAAAGGAGGAGATGAAGACCAACGAACACATTACGCTGGGAAATGGAGATAGACATGAGAAAAACGAACAAGAATTGGATGGAACTAGAAAAGAAGGCCCAGGACACATTTGGTTGGAGAATGCTGGTCTGCGGCCTATGCTCCATTGGGAGTAACAGGCGTAAGTAAGTAAGTAAGTAATGGGCTACTTCGTTGAATTTAGCAAAGAAAAGAACTACTGAACTTAGGTATCGTACTCTTAGAGATCTATAATCAGTGAATTGTCTTGATAAGTCTATTATTTGAACGCTTGACAATGACTTCACTTATCGAGATCTATATAACTCTTATGCACTTAAGCTTAGAACGGTAAAGAGAAATTGTAAAGTGAATACAGAAGTTTTAGTCCAATGTTCATTTAGTTACAGAAAACATTAGTACTTACAGATTTTATTGAAAATCTAAGCTCTTTTAAGTCAAGTGACATAATAAATAATGATCCAATCCGATACAATCTGTTGTGGCGTATACTGATTGGACAAAATGTTTCTAATCTCTTTTACTAGTTTCTGAAAGCATTATTTAGCAAATCTATGATCTATTCAGCAAGTCTTTGTTGTTTCTTATCTTAAAAGGTTCAATAGACTTCTCCATTGAATGTTATTTAGTGGTCGCTTCTATGATTTTCTTATGTGATAAATGGTTCAATGTCATTTTGTTTTGGTTGAATATTGTGTATGTTTTTTTTTATTAAAAAAAGACCTTCATTCCCTTATTGATTTCAACCAGTAAATCAATGATTCTTTCTTCCGATATAAAGAGATCCGTCTCATAATGAAGTAATCAGATGTCTTCAGATACTCAAGTATTTTAGTTGTTTCGTCTTAATTTGTAACAGATAAACAATACACTACTATAACAACAGATAAAAGATTAGACTTAAGATGTTCATTTATTCAATGTATATAACATTTTAAGATCAGTAAGTTATAATTCAAGAAGCTACAAGTATTTATAAATAGTTGTCTACTCATGATACTCAACATCTATTGGCCGAATACCATCAGTAACAACCTACTGTGGGAGAGAACAAACCAGCTTCCAGCTGAAGAGGAAATTAGGAGAAGACGATGAAGTGAATAGGAAGGGAAGCGGAAAAGAAGAAGGCCAAAGAACTTATTACGTCGAGAAATAGAAGCAGATATGGAAAGGATAAATAACAACTGGAAAGGATTGCTCAGGAGAGGGTTAGATGGAGAGTGCTGGTGGTCGGCCTATTCTCCTTCACGAGAAATAACATGCGTAAGTAACTATATTGAGCAGCATTGATTGATACTAAATCTTTATCAACCTCCTAATATTATGAAACATTTTCGATTTTTATCAGAAGGGGTTTTGTGGATATTATCGTAATTTCACTAGTTGAGATCATGAGTCAATTGAAGCTAGACTACCATGGAAATCCTGGAAGCACTGGACGTCCGTTCCGTCCACTTGTGGGATTCCTCAACAGTGCACATCCAAGATCCCGCCTAGTGAGATTCGAACACAGGACCTATCAGTCTCGCGCGCGAGTCCTTAACCACTAAGCCGGCATCCAACGATTTTGCTTTTCCAGCAGAACTTTTAGAATTGATCCTAATGTTTATTACTATCGAATGTGTATAATTGAAAAATAAGTTAATTAACTTACCAAGTACGAATTTATATAGTCAACTTTGAGTAACACTTTTTGTATAAGGACTAGTAATAACACTTGGTTACTTAAACCACAGTAGATGAAACGTAATTTAAGCTGACTATCTAATGGTTAAAAAATCAAACGCTTTAAGCATACAGTTACCTATCTCACATATCTTAATTCGCTTCTGTGTGGTTTAAAATGAATTTTCAGTTGATGATCAATTTATGAAACAATAATTTCCGAGGACCGGATAAGTTAACTATACGGTTCAAATGTCTGACAATCAAAATCTAATCTGTAATAATTAAAAGTTGTGACCAGTGAATTTCAGCATCATTGATGAACAAGGAGATTCAGATACAGACGTAAAGGCGAGGATTGGCAAAGCAATGGCCGCATTCCGTCAATTGACGAACATATGGAACTCAAAACAACTTTCAACCAATATGAAAGTCAGAATCTTCAATACCAACGTCAAGGCAGTTCTACTTTACGGAGATGAAATTTGGAGAACTACAACAACCACCATCAAGAAGGTACAAGTATTTGTAAATGACTGTCTACGCAAGATACTCAACATCCATTGGCCGGATACCATCAGCAACAACCTTCTGTGGGAGAGAACAAACCAACTTTCAGCTGAAGAGGAAATTAGGAAAAGACGATGGAAATGGATAGGACATACATTATGCAAATCGTCAAACTGCATCACGAGGCAAGTCCAAAATGGAATCCTGAAGGGAAGTGGAGAAGAGGAAGGCCAAGGAACACACGTCGGGAAATAGAAGCAGATATGGAAAGGATGAATAACAACTGGAAGGAGTTGGAAAGGATTGCTCAGGGCAGGTTTGGATAGAGAATGCTGGTGAGCGGCCTATGCTCCTTCAGGAGGAGTAACAGGCGTAAGGAAGTAAGTAGGTGGATTTCAACTGTTTCGAGTGTGACGCAGTAACTAACTGAATACAATGGTGGAAGGTGGTGCAATTTAGTGGATAGATTGAGTTTACACATTAACACCGTTAGATAGCGACCAGCTCAATGGTTTAGAGGTTAAGCGTTCGCGTGCAAGAGCGAAGTTGCTGGGTTCAAGTCCCACAACGGGGATCGTGGATGCACACTGCTGCGGAGTCGCATACTAGGAAGAGACAGCCCTCTAGTTCCCCCATATTTTCCATGATGGTTTAGTTTTGATCTAATCATGAATTCAACTATTAAATTAAAAATAAGCGTATATTCGTAAAATATTCAAAAATTCATTTTATTATACTTTTTGGTTATTGTAAACTTTAACATAAAATTTGAGTAGGCATAAATTTTAAATTCATCCACATCTTGAATGTTTGATATCATTGTATTCAACTCATTGAGTATCAAACGCATAGTGCTCATTATTATGTCTCAGTCAATCAGTTACATCGTAGGAGCAAGCACATATATGCATCGGTTCAAGTTGTCATACCTCATTAACACAACAAGATGAACACCGGATTCATAGAAGTAGTTAATTCAGTGGTGGTAATATATAAAAGAAAAAATGTGTATAAGGATATAGTACAGGAAGAAAGAATTAGTTCATAGAAATAAAGATATGAAGCGATTTTAATCTCGTAGTTTGAGAGAAGACGAAGAATATATACACCTACACCATTATGGCCGATTCCGATCCATGTCACCCAGAGTCTCCAACCATTGGTTACGATAATCACGCGGATCCCAATCCAGGTTTGTGCATCTACCAACATGTCTATCATGAAATTGAATGTTTTATTATTCAACTATTCGGCTTACTTAAAAACAACACTTCGCAAATCTATGCAATGAACAAAATATTCTTCTTTATCCATATATATATACATATATGCTCTATATTTTGATTATGCAATACAATCACAATTATAATTCCGATGAATAAAATCATCTCCATATCTTTGTTGAATAATGAAATGTATTCTTAGTACTTCTATATAATAATTGTTTGGTATATTCATATAATTTTCACATGGTTACCGTCACGTGGTCATTGTCTTGATGATAATGATAATGATGACGTTTTAGTGAAACAATGAAAATAAACAAAATGGTTACTAAGAATCTATAGGATAATGTATGTTGTGTTATCAATAAGACTAAGGAAGAAATCCAATTCACACAACTGTATGCAATTGAAAACACAATGAAAATTTAATGATAATCTAATCATTAGTCAGAACAACTAAAAAAGGACAGTGTTCAAGACTTGAGCTAAATGTACCAACTACATAAAATAGTATTCCTACAATACGATATCATGTAGTTAGGTATCGGAATCTTGATGTGTTAACCAATGAGATGGAGGTTTTATCTTTATAGATTTGAATTTGCCCTAGCAGTGCGAGGTGATAAAGAGACGTGAAGAGGGTTAGTCATGGAGATAAAAGAGATATTAGGAGGGTTAGGAAGGATTTGAATGTGACCAACTTGGTCTCGTGTGCTGTTACGGGTATGAGGGCTGGTTTTGT